AGGCTCCGGGGAGACCTTATTGCAGCCTGTCAGTACTTAAAGGGGGCCTACAGGAAAGATGGGGAGGGACTCTTTATCAGGGAGTGTAGTGATAGGACGAGGGGTAACAGTTTTAAAACGAAAGAGGGTAGATTTAGATTGGACATAAGGAAGAAATGTTTTACGCTGAGGGTGGTGAGGCACTGGCTCAGGTTGCCCAGAGAGGTGGTGGATGCCCCCTCCAGTGTTCAAGGCCAGGTTGGACGGGGCTCTGAGCAACCTGATCTAGTGGAAGGTATCCACTAGATGCCCATGGCAGAGGGGTTGGAATTAGATGATCTTTAAGGTCCCTTCCAACCCAAACCATTCTATGATTCTATGGGCTCTAATACAGGTTGATGCAATTTGGACACAATGCTGCCCTACGCCAAACTGTAAAGAAGTGAGGGTAGGGCCCAGATGAAGAGGTTTTTGCGTTGTCATTTCCCAGGTGATTATCTAGACAGCTTTCTCTTTCTCCCTCCAAAACGATAGGCACGCCACATCACACTTTATCCCAGGAACAACTTGGTAAGAGCCAGATCTTCATCTGCAATTAATTCAGAGCACTCCACAGATTTTGACAGTAAGCAGTTTTGGCTTTGATCAGACGATGGAGGACATGTGTCGAGAAGGGCCTGGGCTGAAATGTTTTCCAGCCCTGTTTTCTAGGAGCAGCGGAGGATCTGCCTATACATGGAGTCAGTCTGCGCAGTTTTAGTCCTTCCCAGAGTTTGTGAGTGCTTAGATTTGTGAGGTCTCAGAGGGATGGCAGGGCCAGCATGGAGGAGCTGAAGGCTTCTGTTCCTCCTTAGTTTTGAAGCTGTCCTCGCTACTTTGGGAGCTGTAGAAACAAGTGGATGCAAGACATTGTTGTGGACTTTGCTCAGGTGCAATTTGGTGTCCTGCGCCCCAGCTACCCCAAGCAATCTATTGTAGCGATCTATTAGGGACAAGCAGACTGAGGAGTCACGTCCTGCAAGAAAGGTGGGGATTTGTACCAGCCTCGTTGTCCTGAGCATCATTTCTCTGCTTCGAATCCAGAGAGAGACAATCCCCTCTGGGCTTGCAAAGCCCCTCTTGAAATCAGAGGGCAGGGCATAGCTGAGTAGATAAGTAACATTCATGCCGTTTCTGATCTAAATCCTGTTTTCCACCTGTCCTTGTGTCTCTCTTTCTCTCTCTCTCTCCATGTCTGTGTTGTCGTTTTGCATGTCGCCCTCCATGCAGGTGGAAAAGCCTAGCGTAAAGCCTTCCAAACCAAAAAAGACCACAACAAGCCATAAACCCCTGAAAAAGGCCAAAGACAAGCAGATTGCATCTGGCCGGGCTGCCAAGAAAAAGAGCGCCGAGACCTCCAACACAGCAAAGCCAGAGGACAAGGAGAAAAGTAAAGAGATGAACAATAAACTGGCTGAGGCAAAAGAGTAAATGTCACTGCACTTTCCTTTCTTTCTCGTTTTTTTTCCTTTTCTTTCTCTCTTTCTTTCCTTTTTTCTTTTTCTTTGATTAAATAAAGGCCACAAAATTAATTAGAGGCTTCTAATCTGCTTTTTGTTCTGATTGTATTAGAAGCTTTTCTGTTTTATTTCCAAGGAGGATTAGGGAATCCTTGTTTCTGAAGTCAGGTTGTTCTGCTTTGCCTGCACAACACGGCTCTGCACAGAGTGAGGGACGTGGGAATGCACAAGTGGGGTCGTAGGAGATGAAGGTGATGGATCAACCGTGATTGCGTCCAACAGCCTGTCCCTTTCCTTGGGCTTGGTCCTTCAACGCTTTGACGGCGTGGAAGTGCCCGTCGAGCCATGGAGGGGCTGTGCTCTGATCCCATGAGGCCCTTTTGGGGTTGGCCGTTGTTTGGTCATCTCCCACTGGTGTCAGCAGGTGAAGGGTTTTGGAGGCAGAGAGGATCAGAGATTCATTCGTGGTGCCATGGATCTGCCATAAATCCGCTGGAATCAGTGGTGTGGCCAAGAGCGATTTCCCCTGGTGACACCGGTGGGATTTCTGCTCCAAGAAGCAACAAGGGAGGAGATCCCGTGCAAATAAAGGGCCAAATCTTCCCCCAGGGTAGCTGGGGGATAGTTCTAGCTGCCTCAAGGCAGCTTCACCCATCAACACCACACAAAAGACTTTATTAAAAAAAAAAGGAGTGAGGGAAGGCGCAGAGAGCAGTGAAGACTTCCCAAGCATGTGGCAGGTCAGACTAGGTTATCAGCAGGCTGTTCTTCCCTATTGTTTTCCCTAGGTTATGGATCTTTTTAGTTATTCTTGGTTTGTTTTGCATCTTGGTCTGCTTTCTTCACTTCTGGGGTGTCAGTAGACAGAGCTAGATTTCAGAAAGAGGTTTAGTTTGCAGACGTGGCCTTCCAAGGGGTAGAAAGAAATAAGTGACCAAGGTTGGCTAGAGCTGTCAGCCCCCGTTGTTTTGACTCTACCAGCTGTTGGAGTCCATGTTGGCTTGTAAGCATCCTAAGAGGGCCATAAACCAGTTGCTGGGATCCCCAGACTCCCTCCAGGCAAGATCTCAGGGTTTCAGTCCTATTTACTGTGCGCTTACTCTAGGAAATCCCTGTGCCCAGCAAGACCAGTTTGGAAGCTGTAAACGCAGCGGGACCGTTTGTCAGCAAGTATGAACTGGCCCAGCAGACTGGCATTGCATACCCCAAAATTTGGGTCGTTGAGTCAATGGGAGCTGGGAGGCGTATGGTCCCAATCCGAATTTACGTGCCTAACTCCTGGATTGGGTCCTAAATACGTAAGGATTAATCTTGATCCCACCAAACTGAGCTGTTAAATGCTCCTGTAGCAGAGTAGCTGCAAGTCAAGATGCAGGGTTCTTCTTCATTTTTGCAGCTCAATATTTCTGTCCTAACACGCAGCCCAGCGTGAAACTTTCAGACAACAGACAATTGGGAAGAATGAAGAGAGAGACGTGACGTAGGGTAGGGAGGTGGTGTAGAAGGAGAGTACCAGAACTGTGTTGCTGTAGAGGTGTTTGAATGAGGAAAGTCTTGCTGCTAGGATATTTTAGAGATGTGAAACTGTCTAACACAAAAAGGGATGGGCCGGGAGGGTGAGGAGTCCCCTTTTTGGGGTCTCACCCCATTAGAATTGGGGTCTTTTGGAAACATAAATGAGTGGTGGGCTACAAGGCTGAGAGAAAGTTTCCAAAGAGGAGGAAAGCTCTGTGGTATACAGATAGTGACATTTGCTGGCCTTAGTAATGAATAAATGCCAAGTTCAGTGTATTGTGTGATGTGTCCTGTTTGCCTTGCGCTAACAGCCTAAAGCTTTGAGTATAAGTAAGTGTAGTGTTCTGAATTCAGTGGTGTATTTCCAAGCTTAGCTGTGTTAGAACTGTGTGCTATGAGCTAGTCAGGTTGTGTATGTGGAAAATATATATTCATATATAGAAATATATATATTTAAACCTCCGATGTTTAGGAGGAAACCAGGGAAATCCTCCAGGAAGTAAAACTGTGGAAATCTTTGCGAATGTAGTGCATTTTTTGATGTGCATGCTCCATGGAGACGCTGACCTGTCCATATTGACCATTGCTTTTCTGAGTGCTCAGAAGCCCCTGCAGCACCGCTCGAGTGCAAAGCTCAGCTCTGTCTCCAGAGCAGCTCGGCGAAAGGCTTGCGTTGAGCTGGTGGAGAGGAGTGCCGCTCACAGCTCTTCCCACCCCGTCGCACAAGGGACAACTGGCCAGAGAAGCCTGAGCTTCCAAGACTTGGTGTGATTCCTTGGCATTTAGATGCTTCATCCATCTTCACACTCCTCAGTGATGTCCTTTCCTATCGCAGGACATAGCAACAGCCGTGAAGATGACATGTCACAGCAGGCAGAACATGTCAGGAAGGCACGCAGACAGCTACCGATAGCCCAACACACCAATCCCACTGTACATAAGAAGAGACCATGCCAAACAATTCTCCCAATTATTTTTTGGCCCAAAGCTTCACATTCAAAGAGGCAGCACGCTTGCCACCATTTCACCTTGAATTCAATGGGAATTTAGCCCTTGACTTCAAGGGTAACCAAATTTTGCCCAAGGAACATCATTGAGATGCTCAGACCACCTAATGCAAGCATCTCCATGGCTCTGGATCAGCCGCTCATCACCTAGGGCTTCAGGGTTGCTTCTTCTCAATGAAGAGCATCCATCACTGTTTGAATGAAACGTGCACAGTGACTGGTCAGAATATGGCCTTAGATTTCCTTAATACATGAAGTTTTCGGTGGCATCTAACTACAAAGCTAAGTATGAAGTGCTAGCCAGTGGTCTAAATTCCCTCTCTAGTGAAGGAACTTTCCAAGGGCCATTGAGCTACCTATTTTGGACACCTCTCTTTGGGTGGGATGAATGATCCTTGGAAGGTTTCAAATCTTTGCAGAAAGAGCCTGGGAGACTGGTAGGGCCTGGGGACCTCCCTCTCAGGCAGCAACAAAATAGGGATATAAATCCTGGCCTTTGCTCCAGGTGCACCAGGTCCTCAGCATGCATCCAAGCACACAGTTTAGCACTGCACTGAATGCCAGGAACTGCAGCAGAGTCAGGCCTCGGGGTGAAATCCTGCATTGCTCTACCTTCCACAGACTTTATGCCCATCCAACCCACTCAGGTTTATCAGAAAGGAGACCAAATCTCTGCCGTTTCAAGTTCTCTTTGGACTCTGAGCTTGTCGATCCCACTGGGAAAGAGTGCTCTCCTGTTCCATGTTTCCAGCTACCACAATGCTGATTCTGTTTCACCGCTCATTTGTAGTATGTTTTGCCTTCCTTGTAAAAAGAAAAAAAGAAATGTTTTGCTTTTTACCCTGTGAAAGCTCCTGTGCTGTCTATTGCTTGCTTTCTCATTTTCCCTGTATTGTACTGTTACTCCTTTCTGCAAAAATGGTGCTAATTGCTGACTGAGCTCCTGTTTTCTGACTGCTTTGCACACCGATCACCTGCTTCTTCATTTGCAACGCGTCCGGTGTGAAAACATGGCTCCCATGAATTCCACAAACTCTTGCCTCTTGGAGGCAGATAGGAAGTGTCTAATTAATATTTTGTGGCCTGGGTTTGGTTGCATATCACAGATTGTCTCTTGTAATGTGTTAAGCACACCTCCTCGTGGTGCTTTTTCATTCTTGCTGTTCTAACTCTGCCGTTTCAAGTTCTCTTTGGACTCTGAGCTTGTCGATCCCACTGGGAAAGAGTGCTCTCCTGTTCCATGTTTCCAGCTACCACAATGCTGATTCTGTTTCACCGCTCATTTGTAGTATGTTTTGCCTTCCTTGTAAAAAGAAAAAAAGAAATGTTTTGCTTTTTACCCTGTGAAAGCTCCTGTGCTGTCTATTGCTTGCTTTCTCATTTTCCCTGTATTGTACTGTTACTCCTTTCTGCAAAAATGGTGCTAATTGCTGACTGAGCTCCTGTTTTCTGACTGCTTTGCACACCGATCACCTGCTTCTTCATTTGCAACGCGTCCGGTGTGAAAACATGGCTCCCATGAATTCCACAAACTCTTGCCTCTTGGAGGCAGATAGGAAGTGTCTAATTAATATTTTGTGGCCTGGGTTTGGTTGCATATCACAGATTGTCTCTTGTAATGTGTTAAGCACACCTCCTCGTGGTGCTTTTTCATTCTTGCTGTTCTAATGAGAGTGACACACACACACACACACACAAACACACACACACACACACACAAATTAATGTATAGCCAATTGATTGTGACGTGCTTGTGATCTTTGCTTGCTCAAAGGGTTTTTTTTTTTTCCAATGATAAATAAATGCTAAAGACGAATACCACCTCCTTGATCTTGTTTTCTCGATAAGAAGCACAGTTAAGTGAAAGAAACGCCCTTCCAACTGTAATCAGGTTTGTGTTGCTTAGAGCCGCCACTTCCATGCCTGCCGTAGGGACAACCGAGCTGTCACAGTCTGAGTCCCTTTAGATGGCTGCTAACCTCAGACTAGCCTGACGTGAGAGCTAAGCGTTTGCAAATGTGAAGACGGCCAGTGAAGTCGTGTGGACGGAGCAGGTAGTTTGCTTTTATTTTCTGTACCTACGGCGTGTCGAGCAGAGGGTTGGTGCGGTGAGTGCCCTGCGCGCAGGCTGCTGCTGCGCCTTGCTCGTGTCCACACGTTGCGCTGGATCAGGGAGCAGAAACCGAGCCCCATCGAGAGCTGGAGGGAGGGGAGGTGCTGTGGATGAGGCTGCTTAATTACACACCCTTTTCCAACTGCCTACAGCTCTTGCTTTGGCCCAAAACCACCTGAAAGGCCCATGAGAGGGGTCAAGGGGCTATAAATCCTCATTGAAAGGGGGCGGCAAATTCTTGGGTTGAGCACTTCCAGCGTGCTGCAAGCCTAGCCACCGTTGAACAGGCATTTGGCAGTGTCTGTGGAAGTGCAAAGCACTGATTTTATGTT